TACCTAACCAGTTGGTCATGTGAATGATGAGGCCCCTGCCAGGGCTCTTGTTTAAAATACAATTTAATAAATAAATACACACTTTTCAAAAGTTTTGTCCCTTGGCCGCCATCTTTGGGGAAAAACTCATAGAATCCTCACAGTAGCCTTTATAGTTTTCTGGTTTGTAACTTTGTCATCTGACTAGAAGAATTGTGTGCATCGTGTATAATGATTCTCCCAAGATGGGGCTACCCATATATCAAAATAAGAAATTAAACACAGTGTATTTATCGGAGCACGCTAAAATGTTTAGAAGCATAAAGAGGAGAAATGTCATTGCTTTCCCTTTTGATCTTTTGGTTGAACCCGCAAAGGGACATAACTATTGCAAAGTGTGGATTTGACTATTAGAGGTGGTTTCTCTTTTCCCATTTTCAACATTATTTTTGATTGAAAGAGGAAAAACTTTCTCAAGCATTACATGTACTGTGAAGGTGTTTTGGTCTATAATGGTTGAATACCATTCGTAATTGGGTCTGTTTACCGGATTTGGATTTATACAGGTTTTGTTGAACCTTTGTATAGTTTACATATATGTTTTGCAGAGTCCACTGTTTTCAGTATTATTCTGTCTAACCTTGAAGTTTAATTTATCTTGTAACAAACCTTTTCAATGTAATTTTGTTCATAAAGTATTTTAAAGATATCACATAGTCTTTAAATTTTCTTGGACCCCCTCATATAGAATAATGATAATTTCATAATGCCAACTGCATTTTTGATAAAATTCTACCTGTAAAATCAAGGCCACTGACTTTCCAGTGCATTCAGGTGAAAAGGTAACAAAGGTGCCTCAAAGGTCAAAACTCTTTGCATTTGCATTGGAAATGTTACTGGTAGAGACAAAACACAATCATAAAACCTAGGTTTCCATTAAAAGGAAATGCTCTTAAAAGGAAATATCCCAGATTTTGTAAACAAGTTTCATAATAAGGGGTTATTGTCCTTTGCTTTACACATAAACTGTATCAATTATACGAGTATATTTTATTTCACGATATTTAAAAAAAACATAAATAATACATAAATCATTTATGAATTAAATCAACACTAAACTTTTTGAGGCTTCTATAGGAAGAAAGCTAACCCCATGATCTTCAGTTTGTACTTTATAATGTCTTTTAACTTAACTTGGATTAAAGCAATGTTTGTATTATTAAGTTAATGGATATATTATATTTACATCCACTGAATATTTTCCCTTTATTTTCTTATGAAGACCATTGCCATCACCGCGGTACATGTAATCAGTGCATAAACGACACTAAGCACGCCACGAGCATAGATTTCTTGCACAATGACTGTTCCATCAGTTATGCAGTTATACATAATGACATATTCATCTTTTATACAATTTTCAACATATTTAATTTTACTTCGAATGTGTTTTTTAAACAGATGTAAATATAAACATTAAAATTCTTTCTTTGTCGGTACGTGAATTAAGATCGCAGCCTTTGCAGAAACAATTACATAACCCGCGTTTTTTCTGCAACAGCTGCGACATTAATTCCCGCACTTAAAACCAAACGAAAGCATTTTTAATTATTATTTAAATTGCTCTATAGTTTAGATCAGTTGCTGAATTGTTATAAGAACATTCTGGCTCAATATAAATATTGAAACATTATTTTCCTTATTTATTATAATAAGAAATTTAATACTATAACTTTTCTTGTCTCATAACAATAATTATATCCCCATATTAATTCATGGTGAAACTTTATTCCTCCTAGAGTAATAAGAACGTTCAGCCATATCCAATTAAAGATTTTTTGCAAAATTGCAAAATTACCCTTTCTTACATATCAGTGGCGGATTTAAAGGGGGGGGGCGCCCCCTAAAACTGTCAAAGTTAGCATAAAACATAGTTTTGTCGAGAAAATGTTTTAAAATGTCTACTTGGTAGACCTCATTTTTACCCTACAAAACCTCTAGAATCCATGAGCTTCCGGGGGCTTCGCCCCCTTGGCCCCCACCAGGACTTTGCCCTGCACCCACTGGGGGCCTCAAGGCCGCCCCAGACCCCCTGCCTAAATCTTGCACCCCGCCTAAATTCAATTCCTGGATCCGCCCCTGCATATTGTAAATACATGTATTTCAACATATATAAAAATGCATAAATCGGCGGTTGTGACCTCTCTGCAGGGGGATGCTTACTCCTCCATGACCCCAGATCCTAAAACAAGTTTTAGAGATTCAGATTTTCTCGGCCCCTGATTTTTATTGTTTCATTGTACATTTGATTTTGATGCTGTTCTTTATCTCCAAATACTTTAAAATCACACACTTTTCGTGGGGGGTTAATTTTCGTTGTTTTCGACGTATTGAGAGAACCACGAAATTATGACCACCACGAAATGTAAATTTTCATACGCATTTCTTACTAAACATTCTCCACCCACGAAATCAAATCCCCACAATCCAACATTTTTCCTCAAACCTCGAAAATTTCACCCCACGAAATTTGTGTTTTTCCAGTATCATTAAAATTAAACGTCAGCCACTTTTCTTTATACATGTACATCTATAAACAAGGAACATTTTTTTTAGATTTCAGAAGAGGTGTGGGCTCCTCACGCTCTTTTTCATCCTTTAATAGAAAAATTTAATTAGCGTTAAGTGATTACTTTTTAATGAAAATATCAGCAACCGAAGGGATGCATGTATTTAAAGTATATGAATACACGTATATTATATGCTAAGGAAATATTTTGAAAGATCTCCAACTGATCATATGCATATATACTGCTTTTACTCTGAAAGATCTGATTATCGTCTTGGTTTGTTACATGTACATAGCATTATTTCAATCGCACCAAAGTCTACAAACAATTTTCATAACTTGTCGTTATTATCAAGGATAAAGTGAACTTTTAATGACACTGTAAATGTGTTTGTAAACCGCAATCCGTTGTGTTTAACACGATTGATGACATTCTTTTCAAATTTGGGACCTTTCAGAGTAGCGTCTTGATGTGTTTTACATGAAAATTTATTTATTTCCCTAATTATTTAAAGATATTTATCTACGGAATGTCTGGATGAAAAAAAATATGATTATTCTTTCCTGTCATAAGAACGCTCCTGGCTTTGAGAAAAAAAAACTCTTTAAGCATAACACATTTTTTTTATGAAAAAAGAATTTCATCAATCGTGAAAAACGCAACGGACGATTTTTCCAGGTCCATGCATATTTAAAGTGTCACTTAAAGTTCACTCTGTCCTTGAGATTAACGAGAGGATGTGTAAATAATTGGTAGACTTTGATGCGATAAAATTGATACAATGTACATGCTGTGCTCATAAAATTTATGAGATTCATAAAACAAGGAAAGGTAAAGAAGTATTGATGGCTTCATCTTGATACGTCGATAATTTGGCAATTAATCTTTTCAAATGAAAAACATCATGATACTTTCACCCGGCGACCGCCAGTTAGTTTCATGACGCTTTTTATTCCTTCTGCTTCAATTTATACTCCTTTCTAGACAGGTACCATGGTGTCAAGCCCAGTTGAAAGAGAAAGGACATGCGTTGGGTGTGAATGCACCCTCTTTGAAAACAATTTACCTTTCAGAATAATTTTTAAACATTGCAAGATTTTAATTATTAATATTTTGAAAAACATGAGATTATGAATGAATGCACCCGACCATGGATATTTTAATGGAATAGACCTTCAAAGTCCTCTGGGACAGTGGGTCAGTAGACCTTCATCTCAGAATAGACCTGTAACTGAGAGTTTGGGTTGAACCCTACAGAGCTCTAGCTGAAAGGATACCGACTTAGACCGTCACAGTCTTCTAGCTTGGAGAATGAGTAGGCGTTCCCAGTTCTCTATGTTACAGGATACATACGGGTAGACGTCCCCATTCCTCTGGTTCAGAAGATGAGTAGATTTTCTCAGCTCTCTACCTTAGAGGTTGGGTAGACGTTCTTAGTCCTCTAGCACAAACGATGGGTAGACGTTCCCAGAGGATGGAAAAACCCTTTCAGACTCAGCTCAGATGATGACTAGCTATGCGTTCTCAGTTCTCTGCCTTAGAGGATGCATTTGGGTAGAGGTTCCCATTCCTCCAGCTCATAGGACAAGTAGACATTCCCAGTTCTCTACCTTAGAGGGTGGGTAGACGTTCTTACGAAGCAAAAGCGTGCTCTACGTATGAACAGTTTTAAAAATAGACAACTATTGACAAATAGGCCGGTGAATCAAGGAAATATACTGTCTTATAAACATTTGGAAAACTCTATGGTCGAAACAATAACCGTGTCAGCAAATATATTCAATCTTACCGAGTTTTTCCATTACATATTTTTAGACTATTATTTACACATTGAATTGTCGACAGATTTTTCTTTCTTTGCTTGATAATGACAAGGAGCACTTTGCTTTTTGATAATGACAAGGAGTTTTCCTTTTCACTACCATAAAATGGACTAAGAGGATTAGACAGAACTTGAATATTACGTGTTTTAAGAATTATCAAAACCCAGCAAGTGCTACGTTTTTAAAATTTTTAAAGGTTAAAGAAAAATCTAATAATGTATTTGACATTTTACAATACTTTGTTTAATTTATATGTAAATGTCCTGATTAGAAAACACAATTTTTTTCTTAACCTGAACTAGCTGTATAGGCTGCATCGCTGTTTGTTTCATTTCGTGTCAATGAAATATGGATATAACAGGCTGAAATTTACAAATCTCCAGAAAGGAAACACGGAATTTCAAGAACATCAGAGGTGGGATAAAGTACCATGGAAGGGTAAACAATTTCCCTGTGGTGCGCTTAGATTCGTAGAAAAGTCAGTAGGACCTTGATTCAATCCATTTAAATATCACAAGCTTTATTCTAAAGAATTAAAGTTATCATAAATGAAACATAAATTTCATTTATTGATAGCAACTAAAAATATACAAAGTCCAAAATAAAGAGGACAAAAATAAACATTGCATTGGCTGCTAGATATTGAATGAGTAGTTTACAAGCAAAAATTATCTTTTGTAAATAAAGATAACAAAAGTTACAACACTTCATAAAGTTTTTGTCCATAGCGAGATATACGACATATACTAATTAATCAGCTGCTGATAATACATATATAAAAAAAATATGATCATACTGTTATATTTCTGTTTGGATCTTTGGCTCAACTCAAATCACTTTGCCAATATTGTACATTATTTTACTTTAAAAAAAGAATTTTTTTTTTTTCATTCGGAAACAAGCGCCTTTTCATCCTCCATTCGTAGCTTTTAAATCTTGCGATAAAAAATAGATTTCCATTCTTCTTTCTATTCTCTGTCAAAAAAAAAAAAAAATAAGCCATGAAGATGTAATAAAGACTACAATTGTTTCATTGATTTTTGTTTGATTGATTGTATTTTGTTTTATGTCCCATTCGAGAATATTTTACTCAAATGAAAAAATGAAAAAAGGGTTACATCAGCGGCTTCAAATTTTGACCTTTACCAGAAACTATGGGCGTAACTTTCACGTCTAACGGCGAGTGCATGGCAAAGGAACAGTTGCTTCCTATTTTTCATCAACTTAGGACAGTCGCGGTCGAAATTCGAACTCATAACCCCCCGATCATGAAGTTCATTGATGAAATCGAATAAACTTTGTCACGAATTAGTTGGTAACCAATGATATGTTGTAATTCTTTCCTTGTTATTTAGAAGGAAAATTTGTTTTATGTCAAATAGATGAGATCTTTGTTTCGATATACTGATATACTTCTCCAATTTTCTGTCAGTAATAGACAATAATTTTAAATTCGAAAAAAGCGATATGTGACAATATGATTTAGAAACATACAAAAATGCTCATGCACTGAGTATTATGAATACCCTCCCCCCCAAAAAAAAAACCCTTGTGAAGTGTCAAGATTTGTCAGGGTCGCTTGGTGGTCCAGTAGCTAGCACGCACCTGCTTTAGAGCGGACGTGGAGATCGATAGTTCGAATGAGACCTATAAACCGAGTTCTCGTGCCGCCTTAAGTTCCTGCACAAAAACGACCCTTCACTGCATGCCCAGTGGCCCTAAGTGTTGAGTATAGATATCAATTTGCAGCCCCTCAACGGCAAGTGGTCGAGTCTTTATATGAGTGAAAAATTATCAAGAGGGAACATTTCGTTCACCGTAGCTTAGTCGGTAGAGCGCTCACCCCATGACATAAGGTGATAAAAAAAAATGGGTAGCAACTGTTCCTTCGCCACGCGCTCGGCACGTGAAGTGAAAGTTTATTGTGGGTCTTTCGAATAAAACTTTTAAAAAACGAGGTCCCATATCACGACAGGCGTTTGAACGATAAAGATCCCTCACTGCCCAATGGCTCGGAATGTCGAATAAAGGTAAAAATTTGAAGCTCCTCACCGGTATGAAACGTCTCTACATGAGCAAAAAATTCTCGAATGGGACGAAAAGCAAGATACAACATACAATGAATAAATCTATCTAGAGGGAAAACACATGACAATAAAGCTAGACGGTCTTACCTCTATTTGTACATCTATTGTTCTTTGGATCAATTCTAAGGAACGTTGGTCATTTACCAGTTTCTTAAGATCGTCATTCTGACATTTCATTTCCTTTATACATTCTATCCACAATCCCAGAACATTATTACATAATGCTACGCTCCTAAGTTAAAAATGATAGAGAAATAAAAAATATTATATATTACAATAATGAAAAAAGAAACAAATCATTTAGTCAACAGATATTTTAGGCGTACTTTCATTTACATGTTAAATAAATGTACACTACTAAATGAAATTTGAAGAGCTTTAATAATTAAGAAATTGTCAACTTAGTGTTTGATAAACTACATGGTCTTATTTCTCGACGTTTGTTGTCTGACGTCTTTAAAATCAAAATCAATTGTGGTTTATCAATGACTTTATACACATTTACTCAAACATCATATTTTCTACAAAAATAAAGTACATGTACAGGAATACCGTTCAAACTTTGTCTCGATATCAATTAAATTACAAACCAGTGTGTCTTCAAATAAGGGCATGATTCTGTAGTGAGACTAGTGGAGACAGTTTTATTTAAGATTTGAGTATTTATCGTCCACGTCCTACTTTTTGTCGGTTCTCTGAAGTAAAAAGCGATTGTGAAAATGTAGCCTAAAATAACACTGTGTGTACAGATGTTTTAACCTAAAAAGTCTAGATTTACAAATGTTTTCAACGGGCGGAGAGGGAAAAGGTGCATCTAGAATAATCTATTTCTAAATGATTTAAAAGGTTTCGATAGTGAACAGACACATTTTTTTGTGCCAAATCGCGGTTTGGGTGCCTCAAGTCAGGCACGTTGCGTGTGGTAGAAACTGAACTCCGACAAGTTCTTTTAGTTGCTTGATTGTGGTAGAAATTATTGAACTCAAAAAAGTGTTTTTAATTTTTAAAAAATGAGGGTCTCTCTCTCTCTCTCTCTCGTTGAGAATGTGTGTGCCTCTCTCTCTCTCTCTCTCTCTCTCTCTCTCTCTCTCTCTCTCTCTCTCTCTCTCTCTCTCTCTCTCTCCGTTATTAGCAGACCTATTTTGTTATTCATATAAAGCATAATTTGTGCAAAATCTTACGCGTGAAAAGAAGAAAACACTTGCTACGGCTTTCAGCTCCACATTTTGATACTGTAAAAGTACTTAATTCCAAGGGGTCATACTTAAGTAATTCCGCGGAAGTAGAATTTCTATTCAATCCGCGGGTATGAAATCACGCGGATATCTTGGATTGTCGTTATATGTCCTTAATGCATTTTTAGTACACTGTGACAAATTTCCGCGGAATAGAATATGTTCGCCTACATCGCAGAAATTAATCTCACGAAGAAAAAAGTACGTCTACAGTATATCGATGACGTACTGTCAATTAACAATGGTAATTTCCATTCCTTTGTCGATACATAATATCCTGGGGAGCTTGAGATAAAAGATACCGCAGAGCCTGACATATCTGTTTTATACTTGGATATTTTACTTGAAAAATACATTGATGGTAATCTAACAATTTAACTTTTCTATCGTCAACCTCCCTTACTTATGCAGCAATATACCTTCATCACCTGCATACTGAGTTTATATATCTCAGTTAATTCGATGCGCAATAGCATGCTCTACGTATGAACAATTTTTTATACGAGGTATATTATTGACCAAAAGGTTGATGAAACTAGAATATCAGCAGTCTCGTTTAAAGTCATCATTTCGTAAGTTCTATGGCCAATATGTTGACATTGTCAACAAATACAATTTATTAATGAGTCAAATGCTGACTGACGTTTTTCACACTAATTGTTAGTCCATTATTTATACACTGAATTGACGACGGATTTCTCCGTTATTTTCCGATCATGACAAGGAGCACACGGCGGGTGTGACCGGTCGGCAGGGGATGCTCACTCCTCCATGGCACCTTATCCCACCTCTGATATTTTGGAGATCCGTGTATGCTCTGCTCCTATTTTGTATTGTTTTATGAAATTTTGATCTTGAATACTGTTCGTTATCTTCGTATTTTTCATATACGTGTAAATGATGAATCCGAAACGTATTGCTAAAATTTATTTTTCCCCTAATCTGAATAGATTTAACTTTAAATAAGAGCAGAAATAAATCACCAGTTACATCCTTTGAGCCTACTTTTTGTCAGGTCTCTGAACCTTTATAGTAAATCCTAAAGAGTGTGAAAAATTGGTTTTAAAAATGACAATTTTGTGTGTGCGTGTTTTAAAAACCTTAAAAACGTCTAGACTTTCAAATGTTTACAATGGTGGGGAGCGAAAAAAATAAATCAAGCTTAAAAGGTTTTCTGTTTTAATCTGTGTCTGTAATGATTTAAAAGGTTTCGAGAGTGAAAACACACTGAATTAAAACTCCCAATGCAGATTCTTCAAATAATACAAAAAAGGATAGAAAAAAGATTAAGAATCGCTAGTGGGGAATACAAGCGCAATAGATAAAAAAAAACTTGAATGAACGAACTTTTTGAACTTAGGTTTCATACCACTTAACAAAGAAAATGATAGAGGGAAGTAAAATTCCAAAGATTTCTCGCCTTGGGGTCAGATTTTTCAGCCTCGTTGCAAAAATGACCTCTTCCAACGTGAATGAACATTCACCAAGGAACGAAAAGCAAACAACCAACCAACCAAAAACTGTCTTTGACATATAGAAATCCTAGACTGACGATAGAACCATGTTGTATCAACCAACAAATGTCCTTGAATTAGCTATTGCTCCGCACTTTAATGAACAAACGAGAGAAAAGAACCATGATTTCTAACGAACAATTCTCCTTGATATGAAATTAAATATAAACAAAACGATAAAAAAGATCAGACCAATCACTGAATCTGTACTAATGCATGTATATACTTCAGTAAGTCATAACCTCAGTGTACTCAAGGGGATAACACTGGGTCAATATACTTACTTATCTGGCAAACATTTGGATTTTTTCCTGACAACACCAGGATAACTCTGTCTGGATGGAATTTCACCTGAGGAAAAAAGTGCATATATTTCAAATTTATAAAATATCTTCGATTTTGCTTTTCTATTTTTTCCCCAAACATACAATAAAATAAAGATGTCAATATAAAATTTACCTGATGTACCGTAGGGTAATATCTGTCAATGTTTACCTTTCAGTCTCTTTGTTTGATGTTTTCTATTCTTTATAATCCCTTTATTATGGCTTCTGTGCGCTGTTACTCTAACTCGCTCCTTTAAAGCTTTAATTCTTTTCCTTTGCATCTCCTAAATATGTATTAAAACAAATAAATGAGGAATAATCAAAATAACACAATCCTTTTATTTGATTTGATTTCAATTAGTCTGACTAAAGCCAGCCCCTACTATATCACTTGGTTAGTACTAACGAAGTGATATAGTAGGGGCTGGCTTTAGTCAGACTGGATTTCAATTAACATTGTATAAGACTAAAGAACAAATGCTAATCAACTAAACGACTTAAGAAGACAATCGAAAAACAGCACCATTTTTTTGTTGTAGTACAGAAGTAATAAAAAAAAAATTGAAGCTTTTAACTTATTTATATTGCATGAATTTTAACATGTCCTTTAAATTCAATTTTCAAAATCTCAATATTCTTGTTGACATTTTACTTAAAGATGAAAACGATGATTAGAACTTTTAATTTCATGCTGAATACCAAAGACAGAATGAAGGAAAAAGTTATAAAAAAGGGAGAAAATGTGTTCTAGCAATCACCTGATCCCACCTCTAATGTTTTGGATGACCATTTTTAGTAATTTCAAGCGAATATGTTTCAATTTCTCGAGTATGCTTCGTTTTTGGTTCAAAACAACTACAGATACGCTTTTATTTCATTTAATAATTATATTGTTTTACGAATAAAACAACATTAATACATGAATATTTTTACTTACGCTTTGATATTTATTGAATAAACATTAAAATCTAAAACACAAACATCACGTTTTTTTTTGATCGGGCGCCATTTTGAAATTAAACCTGTCCGTTATCCTCTGTAAAATGTAAATCATTCTAGCATACTAGTATTTTGTCATTTTACCTGTGACTTGATACCAAGTGCATAAAAAAACTTATAGGGAAAAAACCTTTGACATTATTGTATCAAAAAATATTAATAATTTCAGATATTCACAATATTTCCCAATGTTCAAATAACTCACGTGCGGATCAAGATTTTTTTTTAATTAGGACAATTGTAAAAGCATTTTAGAGATGAGCAGTACCTATTAAAAAGTGGAAATAAACTTAAGGTGTTATAAAATATTCAAATACACATGTGATAAAACCTGTAAGAGACCACCTGTTAGGTACAATTTTTAGGAAAAATCTTTGAAAATCTTCTTCTCAAGAACCATAAAAAGTTAAAACCAAAAATTTTACATAGAAAAAATATCATGGGGAATATTGTCTAAATTAAAATTATAACAAGGGGGAAATCTGGTAAAGAACAGAATGGTCAAAAGTAATTTTTTAAAGATGATATAGTCTTATTGATACTTAATATGCTCCCGCAAAAAATGGTCAAATACAAAAACTTAGAAAAGCATGTTTTTTATGTTTTATTAAAAAAAACAAACAAATATTTTATTCCTATATAGAGCACAGAGAAATACGTTGATCATACATTTATGATAAAAAAGACATCAAGTAAATGTTGCAAAACCAATATGCATAAAGTATTAAAGTCAGCAAAATAATCTTCATGAAGCTTTATTCAGTAAGGTTATAAAGTTGCTAGGACTTTATGCACTTACCATATTTGTTAAACTATTGCTCCTAATTTTGTGGACATTTTCTTCCTCTTCTCTAACGTCTGTTTCCTCGTTTCTTGGTATCATATTGAGGTATTCCATGGTCATGTGTTCCGTGTTAAAGTTAACCACAGACTTGATATTGAAAAGACATAACAAATAGCATTTACTACAAATTCATGTATTCTTATAAATGGACAAGAACCACAATTATTTTCTCCTAAAATTGTCTGCTAAACACTTAATTATTGTGTTATGATTGCTTCCACTACGTGCATGATAAAGTGTTGTAATGAAATGACAGGTTTTTTTTCTTGGCACAGCGAGGAGAGTTAAAGGCAACAGCGCATTACAAATGTCCCACTAGTGACCCTCTACAAATTGTTTGATAGATAATTCTAGAAATAGTTTCAATAATACAAATACTGAAAGCTATGTAAATAATTCCAATATTAAAATGTTTTTGTAACATTAATTATGTTCCCCAAACGATGTTGGGGAACATATTGTTTTTACTCTTTTTCTTCTTACTTCTTCCTGGGTATATATTTGTCTGCGAATAATCTTGTAAACTGTTCATCCGATGTAGGTAAAACCTTTTTAGGGTAAGTAGACATGTTATGTAGATTTGTAGAATCAAGGTCATTTTGCGGGCACGTGCTTGCAAGAGCGCGCACGTGCAACACGTGAAATGACCAATATAATAGATGTAGCCGTAACTTTTCTATTTTTTGATGAAATGTTTTGAAAAATAATAATATAAGTATATATTAGTATTATAGACATGGTCAAATTATCATGAACTCACGCGCATGCACGTGCGCTTCGCTCTGATTGGCTGAAACTAAAGTCTCAATATCTTTGTTTTTTTGACAAAATACTTTGAAATTTTAAATATAGTCATACATTCGAAGGTTCTACAACAAGATATATAAGAATTGTCATGAAAGCACGTGCATGCTTGTGCGCTGCAATCTGACTGGCTTAAACTTTAAATGCCTATAACTTTCTTAATACTCAATAAACCAGGATGAAATTTAGAATATATTCATATAGATTCCTACATTATGCTACTATCAAAATTGAATGCATGGACATGCAAGTACGTGCGCATGCGCAATGCGTAAAATGAGTAAAATACTTGAAAAATAGTATCATTTATATCTGTATTATTTTCTTTTGATTCTCAGGAATTCTTTAGCCAACATGCCATGATCATCTTGCATATACTTGTGTGTGCGCGTGCATGCGAAACGATAAATGATATATAGTTGATATCATTGTAACTTTTATATTCTAAATGAAATCCTTCGATACTGAGCAAATAAAAAAAAAACGTATTACAGGAATAAGGCACAAAAAGGGATTTGGGGAGCGTTTGGGGAACATCTGTAACGGTCCCCGCTACAATCAACACTAGTTTTTTTAAAAATGCATTTAAAATAAGCAAAATTTTGATCAACATACATATATAGCCACAAAATGAATAACCTTTGATTTTGATAATGAACAGCACTCAAAAGTCTATTAAAACAGTACAATAATTATTCGGAAACAGAGCAAATACAGACCTCTTAAAAGATTTTTGAGGTGGGATAAGTTTAAACAATCACTAGTTGATATTTGGTTTTTTTTTCGTTTTTCTTTTAAGAGAAATCTCATTTATAGTAATCAATTTTATAGAAAAAGCCAAACAAAAGTTAAAATCTCACCTTTCTATACTCCGCCGTATTCATGTGACAGGAATGAGCTGCAGGTAACGAGCCGGACGGTCTTAAATGACCATACACTAAGAGAATTAACCTATCAAAGGGCTAAACTGTTCATTCTAAGAGACATCCGAAGCAATTTTTTTTCTATTTACGGATTTAGAGCACCTCAATCACGAGCGCATGGCTTTGACAAATGAATTTTATAAATAATTTTATGAATTTTATATAAAAGTTCTATGGCATTTCATATGTACATATAGATTTTCTACAATACTCTTATATATACAGCGAGTATTCTTGCTTTTACTTTAAATTAATATGTCTTTTTAAGCTTAGGAAATCTAGTCCTCCAACAAGATTTCAGAATTCTTATAGGTACTAATTACGCTCCTCGTTAGCAGACACAATCTCTTTCTGTGGTCTTCAATTCAATATTAATATGTAGATATATCGACCATGCTTTATCAATGCATTCTTTAAATTCCTATTGTTATACGTTACTAGTCGTTTAAACCAAGAATTTACAGATAATGTGGTTAATACAATGACCTCAATTATCAATAAAAACAATCTTTCATTACGTCAAATGATCCTAGTGTTCACAAAAATTAATAAACCATTATTTTTATTACTGTTCAACTTCTTTCCCATTTAAATTAATTTTTATTCCACTGTATAGATTTTTTTCCGCTTGCCCAACATTACAAGGATCACAAAGCGGATATAACCGGTCAACAGGGAATTTTTAGTCATTCATGGTCACCTGATCCCATCTCCATGTTCTAGAGGTGTTTGTTTTACTCCCAATTTATATAATTTCAATGGACTTTTGATCGTGTTTTGCTGTTCGTCATCTTTAAATTTCATTAATAAGTTGAATTATTATTTCATTTATTTGATTGTTTTAAATTATATAAATTATCCTAAGGTCAAATGCTGACTGAAATTTTTCATACTAATTTTGAGGCCATAATTTACACACTGAACTGTCGACAGAATCTTGTCGGTCAAATGCCCTACTTCCTTGGCGATTTTTTTTATGCTTTAGGATTGACCTTTTTGTCCTCAAGCACTTTTTTGGTATGACAACAATATGTTTGTTGAAGCAACTTATTTTGTAAACGTCACGTTTTGATATTAAGATAATTAATACATCTCATACATCAATCCATTCAAATAAACAAACAATAAAATAAGTTTGATTAGCTCTTTATTTATCAAGTTTTAATTGCTTCAAGAAAGAACAATTAGGAAGAAACACACACCCTCTCGTACACACAGACTGATTTTAAGAATGACTATAATAAATTCCGAAGGTATGCTGTGTTGTTCAGTTGAAAATTTCAAATAAATCAAACACATATTTAGAAACTATTAATACAACAACACACATATACATATATAACTATATGGTCTACTAAATATGCATAGTAGTAATAGAAGGGGAAAAAATCTTTAGATGAACAAATATAGATTTTCTTTGTAAAAATTAAGTTTCTTTTAAAAGAACGACC